AGGTGCTTGTACATACTCATTTTAGACCCTCAGTCTAAAATCGACCAGAAATGCCCCCTAGAGACTTCCTGCTCACTGCTTCTAAAATTAAGGACCAAATGGACAAACAGCAATGGCACAGTGCTTCCCTTGAGTTGCTGAGGCCAAGGTCCCTCCTTGCTAAGTCTCCAGTTCCACTCTGGAACCATCTGCTCTCACCCAGTTCTAACAGATTGAGCCAACCTTCAGGGAATCTCTTTTGGATTACCCTGAGGTGTGTTTCTTTCTTGCCTCCCAGTCAGGGAGGCTTTTTGTCTATGTTGCCCTTAGATGCCGTTCTCACTTTGTGAGATTGGAAGTCTAGGTTTACCTGGTTTTTATTCAACCAGGGGGCACCAAATATGGTGTTGTATCTGTTGATGTTGATGACATCGAAGTAATGTTTCTCAATGTGGTTGTTGATCTTGATGCCCACATTCATTCCAAACAAGATTTTTGATCTTGTTCCTTTCATCCCCATTTGGAGGATGACCAGATTCTCCAACTGGAGAATTGGGATGTGGACTGCATGGATGAAAACTGGTGATATCGCATCCGTTTCGGCCCCACTGTCAAACAGCATGTAGGCTTTTACACCTGCTATTTTGACATGGGCTGTCAGCATCCTCTTACTATAAAGCAGTCTGTTCACAGGATATTTCCCTGCATCTTTTGAGATGCAAAATTTCGCATCGAATAAGGGGGTTTGGGGTTTGTCAGACTTCTGGTCCTTCCTCCCTTTCCCCTTGTTCTTCTTGGGTTCCTTGGCATAGGTTCCCAAGGCATCCTTCTTTGGTGTTTCCACCAAAGCCTCTGCGACTTTCTTGTCTGCAGATTCTTCTAACTGGCATGTTACTGCCAACTTGACTCTGTAATTGATGTCTTCGTGGTCAATGACTGACATTGAGCCCATCCTTATGGTCCCAACATTAACTTCCTTGCCCTCTGAATCAGGTGAGTATTGAGGTCCCTCATATGGGTCCTCTACTTTGAAGCTTGATGCTTCAGAGTCACCAGAGTTATTCTCTGGTTTGTCTTCTGATGAGTCCTCCAACTCTTCTTCTGATAGATGGGCAACTTCCATGGCAGCTATGCGCCTTGGTTTTTCGTCGCTTATTGTGTGATATTTAGGGTAATCTTTTGTTTGCCTTAATTTTCCGCATTTGCTGCAAATTGAAACTGATTTTTGGTCAGTTTTCCTTGAATATTTCGAGGATGAGTCCTCTTTCCATCTGGATTTGTGTCAGGGCATGCCACCTCCTTCTCTCTCTCCTGTCTTTCTCCCGTTCTTTCCTTCTTTCTCCATATGGATGACCTTTTCCCTTACACCTGTAGCATGGATGCATCCGACATCAGGTACCCCACATGGGTACCGTGGCGCTGAATGCACCATGCACCTCTACTTGTATTCCTCTTCTCTGACACTCAGGACCACCTGTGGAACCACCCACAATAGCCTGGCTCCACCCAGGGGTGACGTGGCACCCTCACATGACTGATTCCCACTTGTATATAAACCAAGCCAAAGCAGAACCAAAGAAGTAACCTTCTTCTCATTTTCTGCTTCAGGCAAGTACCCTAACTTAGTGTAGCCCTTCATCTTAATAACAATACATTTTCTGCTTCAGCCTAAGAAGCCACGGAGGGATGCAAGCCTGAGAGAGGGTTATCCACTATACCGCTCTGCTACTCCGCTGCCACCCGAGCCGCCAGCACCAGGCACTACACCACCACCGCCACCTCTCCTGCACTGTCCCTGACAGTCTGGGCTCCTCAGCCCTTTTCCCTGATGGGAGGGTTCTACCACAGCTTGTGGTTGCCATGGTAGTTGTTTGGGTGTAGTAACCCAATTTGTATGCTGAAGACATCTTCAGCCCATCGATTATCTCATCCACACGAGATATTGCTTTTATCATCTCCTCGTTTGAGGAGAAGTCCGCTCTGATTCTGTCATGAGCAATCATTTCCCTCTTCCATTTGAGGGGAATGTTGTTTAGGAACCTGGCATTGAAAGATGCCTGGTCTGGCAGCGTCACCATTTGGGACGCTGCTTTTGACAGTTCTAAGTAGAACTGTTTTAAGCCTTTGCCCACCTTGTATTTTACATTGTGGTACTTCTTTGTCATGTTTAACGTGGCAGATGCTTTTATGAAGGTTCTCATCAGTATGTTGAGAACTTCAAGGAATATGCCCTCATCTCCTCTGAGGACAGTTTCATCTTGGAGTCTTATTCCAAGGTCAAATGTGGGTCCCCCTAGTCCACAGATTAGGCAGTCCAAATGGACTTTGTTGAACTGGGGGCCTTTGTGTCAGTGTTAGTGTGAGGTCTTTGGGTAGCTCAGCACACAAAGCCGTAAGTGATACAAGAATGTGTATTTTACGGTGGTGTGTAAGCAGTTACCCGGAGGTTCCCGCTTACCCACGTGACTATATGTATCTAATTTACATATGACTCGGGGTTAGGGGCTATTGCCCTGACAGTTAGACACTGGTCCAGGGTCGGCACCGAAGGTTGCCGTTAGCAGGCTGCTATAGGCTGCAATGGCCATGATGCTGTGAACAAGGCCCAAGGGTAGGGCATTTGGCCTCAGCGACTCTAAAGGAGTGCTGTGCCCCCTAGCTGTCTCTTGGCCCTCATTTCAAACTTACTGGGGTCAGGACTTGGGAGTCATGGTCAAATTGATATTAGAGCTAAGGTACAATACAGTATCATACAGGATATATATAGGGAGGAAGAATGAATGGAAGCGGACCCAGGCCGAAGGCCGAAGGGTCCGGAAGCAAACATGAATAAGGAGCGGGGTTGGCCGCATAGCAGCCGGCAATGACCGAGGGTCAAAACAAACAATAACAGATAAATAAAGGAAGGAGCGTAGGGCCATGATAGCGGCGATGGTATCATAGTGGCACTGGACTCGGAGTTGGGCCGGAGTCGGGTGCGGGAATGGTAGCAGCCCTGTAGGGGCCAAGTGGGTGGGGTAGAGGAGTCGCACTGGACACGGTGCCGGAGGCGGACTCAGGGCAGGGAGGTTGGTGTGGCTGTGGGGGAGTCGGCCAGGTGCAGGGGAGCCTAGGGGCAAGTGGGGGAGTGAGCAGGGAGTCCTCATGGAGGATAGGGCTGAGGTCAGGGCTCGCACTCACACTTGCGTAGCAGGAATGGGCTCGGGCGCCATTGGGATGGGCAGCTAACAGGCCAGAATGCATGGCCGTGACAGTCAGGGACGGTACAGGAGAGGTGGGGGCAGCAGTGTAGCCCCTGGTGCTAGCAGCCCAGGCGGTGGCGGGGTGGTGGGACTATATAGCGAATGGCCCTCACTCGGGCTCGTGTCCCTGTCTGGCTTCTTAGGCTGAAGCAGTAGTGATTGTTATTAGGATGAAAGACTAAGCTAAACTAAAGTAAGACACTTGCCTGAAGCAGTAGTGAGAAGAAGGCTGCTTCTTTGGTTCTGCTTTGGCTCGGTTTATATACAGGTGGGAATGGGCCATGTGGGGGGTGCCACATCAGCCTGGGTGGAGCCGGGTTATCATGGATGGCTCCGCGGGCGGTCCCGAGTGTCAAAAAAGAAAAGTACAAGTGAAGATGCGCAACGTATCTGGCGGCGCAGTATCCATGTGGGGTACTCGGTGCCAGACATGTCCGTGCTACATGGGTAAGGGGAGAGGTCGTCTGTATAAAGAAAGAAAGGAAAGAAAGAAGACAAAGGAGAAAGGGAAAGAGGGAGAAGAAGGAAAGAGGAGCAGCGGGAGGGTGCGGCATGGCACGGTGTGCCCTAACACTTTGCATCCTCACAATGTGAGGAATCTGTGTCAGGGACCGACCTGGGGTCGAGAGCGTTGTAACGGGTCTATCACCTAGACTCGAGACAGAGAGAAGGGGGAGGGTGGTAGTGTGCGCGGGTGTGGTTCGTTGGGCCGGGTTTTGGTCCGTGGGTGCTACTGAGTCTGCAAAAACCTCAAACAAACACTCACCTATGTCTCTCTTGGATGTCAAGGCTGAGTATTATGATGTGAGGGGTCTTAGACGTGAGCAACTAGCTCAGAGGGGGCGTTAGGGTCGTGGATGGCGTCTTTTCCACTTGGATGCAACTTCTGCTTGTCCCTTCACGGGTCTATTCAATACTAACTTGTTATGTACAAGCTGTTATCTATTTTATATGAGTTGGAAATGGAATGAATGGAGTGGGGGAATGTAAACGGGCCGTTAGGCAACCGTAAATGATGAATATCCAATTGGGAACAAAGAAACAATAAAAGAAATATGAATGAATGGGGAAAATGTGACAACGGGTCCGAAATGGGAAATGTAAAAGTTAACTCCGCAACGCTTCGCCACAGCGCCCGCCTATCCTCCCGACAGCAAGCTCCTCATCTCCAGCTTTCCAACGAGCCCCTATTCGTCCCATTTGGTGCAGTAGTTCTTGAGATGTGGCCATTGACAGGTGCTGTCAAGACCATGTGAGAGTATACTCCGTGCTGAACCATCCAGGTATGGGATTGCCATTCTGGGAAATGCTCCGGGGGTGAAGAAGGGTGGTAGAGCATCACTATCGGGTGGAAAGACGGCTGGGTTGTGAGTGTGGGTATGGAGGTCTGGAGAGGGGGTGAAATTGGCGGCGTGGTTGGGCGTGGGAATTTTGCTTGGGGTTGTCGGGAATGATGGGGAAAATATGGAAAAATATGGAATGAGTGTAAGGAGTGTTGGATAGTGATAGAATGAGTATCGTGAGCGTCAGCGGATATGTACTGCGTGTTGGTGACCAAATTCCACAGAATCCGACTTTTTGCGGTACACGGAGTTGTCCCCACAACATATAGGCCTTGCTCTTGATTGTGGTCCCTCACGATATCCTCAACATCCTTAATGTATAAATAAAACGAGTGTTATTGTAATACGAAATGGCAGGCACGTTGCATTGGCAAGTGGATAAATACATGGGCCCGGGTGGTTGGCTTATCATGAGGAGGGGACAACGGAATTGATGTCATTCCCGACGAGAACTCCTACGTGACACAGAGGTCTTCTTCGAGGCAGAATCCTCTTCAGTATGGGCCCGTGCTTTCCCTTTAACATCTCGCTCCGCCTTAGGGTTTTCATCCATGGGGCTGGGAGACTTAGGTACTGGCTCAACGTCAGCGGGTGCATCCTTGGGGTCTCTGGGGATCACAGCGGGTGGTTTGAATTCAGGCATAGTTCCAACAAACTTCTTGACGGAGTCTTTGTCTATGTCCCTAACCCGACGGGTCCACTCATTGGTCTTGATGATAAAATCCCTTGCAAGTGAAATCTTTGGCGCTAGTACTATGGCTACAGGCATCTCACTTAGCCTAGTGAGACTATCGGCGGGTTGTGCAGCCTTCTGGACGGGTGACGCCACAGGAGTTGACCCTAGGAATGGCTATGCCGTTCTTCTAGGTGCTGTCTTGTTGTCATCTGTCTCTTGCTGCCAGATGAGGGATCGTCGGAAGGCGCGTCTGCCTTCTTGAAGTCTTTCGCGGCTGGGTTCTGGTGGGCGGCGTCGATAGCGTCCTCGACTCCTACGGCGACGTGTGTGTGGCGCATTAGGGTTTCCATAGCCCATGGAGCACTCGAAGGGAGGCAGGGGGTAGTGGTCGAGCTCGCGTTGCATAGTTCTTAAGGGAGTTTCGTCATTAGTCGGGCCGCTGGCCTCAGTGGCGGGAGCGGCAACAAGCATGGGGCTCTTGTCCGAGTATATAACCTCAATAGTCGGCCCGCCCAATAATAACTTAACTTCTAACTCATGCTCGGGATCGCTTGGTGTGGAATAAGAATTCTGAGGAACGTAAGAGCCCTTTCCGCCCCAGGGCAGCCAATCGAATAAGTCAGGGCGGCCGGGAGGCAAGGTCTTCAGGTCACCGTCTTCCTTAAGCTGAGTGGCATGGCGGGAATTCCAAAATTGGTTGTCCTCATCGATGAACTTCTCGAATTCATGTTCGTGTTGGCTTGGATGGAACCTCAGGTCTGGATTCTCGGCTCTGGCGTGCACGCGCTCGTATTTCTCTTGCCAATACTCAGCTAGCTTCTCGCCCTTGAGCTCCCAGGGCTTGGGTGGCGTCGGGTGCCTAGGCTTAGTGGCGTAGGACGCATAATTTGCCTCGTTGTCTGGTTCCTCATAACCTTCGGAAAGCTTAACGGGTTCTCGGATTATTGACTCTTCACGATCTAACTCTTGCAACACAAGGGCGCCGCTGCGAAGTCTCTTGTCTACCATATGCGGTCCTAACCATCGCGGCTGGCTTGGAGGGAACTCCAGATCTGGATTCTCAACCCGATTGTCATAACTGTTGGGGCTAAGCTCTAGGGATCGGCATAAGGAATCCTCATGGCTCCCGCTGGAGCGTTCACAGCTTTCTGGCGGGTGTGTGACTTCAATGACTTCGGCGTGGACAACGGGCTTCTCTTGAGCAGTCAAGAAGTTAACCAGAAAACATATATCAAGTCCAGTGAAGGACTTCGGTGCGATGCGAGCTATCATTGCTGCCTCCGTTGATTCAGGCTTGACAACGGTGCATCCAGTCTCTGAGTTCTGAGCGGTTACAGGCAATGACTCTGCGACAACGGGCTCATGATGCGTGCACGCGAAATCTTGTGCTGCAGCCATTCCCTTAGCGGTATCGACGTGCTCGACAATTCCCGTAGAATTCGGACCAGACAGTGCCAAGGGACCTGCAGCAGCTCTTGAATCCTCAGCATGGGCTGCTTCCCGTCCTTCCAGAACATAGTCAAGGCCGTCAGGCCTTGGCTCTTTAAGCTTTTGCTCCAGTAGTGCAGTCAAGGATGTCACTCGGGTTGCCGGCTCAGGGCAATTTGAGGCGTATACGAGACCAGAATCGCGCATGGGGAATGGAAAGCATTCCATCTCAGTCGACGTTTCCTTAGCTGAGTTCAAGCCCGGTCCCTTGACTAGGCTGACCCGTTCAACATAATCCGTGAATCCCAGACCATGGGGTATCTTGGAGGGTATCCAAGCATTCTTAAGCGCTCTAAGGACTTCTGGATCTTCCATGTTACGGTCCGCTAGTACATGATCGAGGCCGTCAGGCCTTAGCTCTTTAAGCTCTGTCTCTGGCGTGGTGAATGTCGAAGGAAAGCGGCTCAGGAACTGTGGCGGCTCTGATGTCTGGGGATCTGACCCAGATCTCACTGTACTAATGTTGTATGTGGTGGCAGCAGCTCTCGCGTAATGACGAGCTTGAACAGGATAAACATTTCGCGGGGCATTCATAATCGGAAGTTTGATGCGGACGGATGCTCCGCTATCTCGGTTTCCCTCATTCCAGATTTGAATTACCATCCCTACATCGTGCATATACTCGATCTTAGTAGAGTGGCTGAAGAGCCACGGTTGACCTAGAATCATATCCTTTCCATGAAGGGTATCTCGCGTAAGAAAGAAGTTGTGGGTAACTTCAATTCCCCCAATGGTAACGGGTACGTCTCTGCAAAGACCTTCTAAGGCGACTTGGTGTCCAGATACACCGCGAAGAGCCCACATGGCGCCAGTAGGGTCGACTGGAAGTTCTAGACCATAAGCTTGCTCGCTTGTCATGATGTTGAGCTCGCTGCCGGTGTCAATTAGCATAGTGCAAGGACGGTTGCTAATTTGTCCTTGAATCTTCGCGGTTACCATAGCCAAAAATGAGGGTTTCTTAGACGTAGTACTGGCACCAAGATAAGGGCGCCCGAATTCGCGTATGTGCTCAGATTCCAAGAGCTGCCGATAGTAATTCTCAGCTTGGTCATCCGTGCCGATGGACCAAGTGCTACTACTGTCATCGCCTTGGGACTCAAGGCCAAAGCTCTCGAATACCACCTGGCTAGAGCTAGTATCTTGCGTGAGTGGCGAAGGATCGTCTGCTTGAGTCTCGATAATCCTGGGTGGCTGCTGGCTTTTAGTCTTTCGGAGATACTCCTCCCAATCAGGATCATAATCCTTGTCAAGTGCGCAGGGAGTGTTATTGCTGGAATGAGAGTCCAAATCGCGCCTCTCAAGCAGGATCTTGTTGAATTTCTCGGCATCGAGGCACAGAACTGGTTCGGGGGTGCTATGCGCCACTTGGCGGGAATCCTCATCGTCAAAATGGTCATAGATATCCATGACTTGGAGGGCCAAGTTGCAGAGGTCCTCATCCTCAAGACATGCTTTAAGGTCAAAGGTTTCAATGGGTTTCTCAAAATTATCCTCGTTTTTGTTGAGGCACAGATCCAAATCGGGGTCTTTGTGATCATCCTCAGGTTCATCCTCAGTGTTGAAATACGAATCTAAGTCAAAGACATCGTAAAGGGCCTCCCCCCATTTTACTTCTCCATCAAACCCCATGCCAAGCTTTCCCACCGGGTTTTGGTGCTGGCTGGGGGATTTGTTGAGTTTCAAGGGACTTCCCTTGACCATTATAACTTTTCTATTAGATAGTTAGAAGTCATATGATGTGTAAGGCAGATGCTGAAAATGTTTTCTCATTATCGAATACATAACCCACAAACCTTGTACCGCAATTGTAACATCCTCACCATTGTGCTGGCACCACTGTAAACTCAACCTGTAACCTCAGAACCATGTCCACCTCCCTATTCATCCTCTCCATGACAAAACTGCAATGAGGAGGGCATTCCCACGCCCAACCTCCTGCTGCCCGTTCCCACCAGTCCACTGGGTGGTTGAGCAGTCACTCCCCTCCAACCAGAAGTTCCCTATCAGGAACTGTAGCCTATCCCACCTCCTTAGGAGAGGGATATGGTCCAGGCAGCTCCAGGATGCCTGGCCACGCACCTGCGGGTCCCACTTCCCATGGTCACCCACTACCATGCACTGGTCCACCAGCCCGCTTTCCCCAACAACTCCTGCTACCGCTCCTGTGAGCGCCAAGTCACCGATAGCCACCAACTGGGTGACTCCCTTTGGGAGTCCCAGTATCCCACGCTACCAGTACGCTCCATTGAGCCCCAAGTCACCGCTAGCCAACCACTCCCAGCACACCCGCTACCGGCACGCTCCCAGGGGCGCCAAGTCCCCATTAGCAGACAGCCAGGTGGCTCCCTCAAGGAGCCCACATCATACTTGCTACCGGTATGCTCCCAGGAGTGCCAAGTTACCATTGGCCAACCCACAGGTTGTACTTCCAGATACTCATCCCATTCCACTCTCCCTCCGATGGCTATGCAGCCACCTCCATTAGTGAGCCAAACGGTTCAGGTTGGGTTCCCTGGAACCCATTCTTGTAACACCCTCCTTATATACAATGTACCTAGTAACTTGTAACCTCAGTCCAAAATCGACTTGATTCCCCCCCTAAGAGACTTTCCCTCTGCTAGATCCAAAATTAGGGACCCCAGGACAACCAGCAATGGCACAGCGCTCTGCATGAGTCACTGAGGCTGAGGTCCTTCCACACTAAGTCTCTGATTCCCTTCCGGAATCATCCGAATCCACCTGTATCTAACAATCTTCCCCAATGTGGGTAAGATTTGTGTAACATGGAGTTCTAGGGGTATTGGGCCCCGCACTTACTCCACACAAGTTTTTTGAACCCTCAGGGACTGGCCCTGAAGTGGTTGTTTTTGAGGATTGTGTTGATCCTCATCATCATCTGATGACAACTTTTGTTGTGAATCTCCCATGATGGGAGATTGCAGTTCCTTTATGAACCACTCATTTTTCTTTATTGTTGCTGCAGATGTGACTTTGCCCTTGCAGGTGTGTTTAGGCGCCATAAGTGCTACCGAGTCAGATTGATGTAGATGTTAGAGCTTGGTGGTTTGTGTTTACTTTTTAAACACACCTCATACACTTAAAAAAGTGTGAGGTCTTATGGGGTTGCTCATCACACCAGACAATAAGTGTTACAATGGTGTTAAGTGGTAACCGGAAGTTGCCGCTTAGCCATGTGACTCTATATACACTGTTGTTACATTGGACTCGGGGTTTGGGGCTATTGCCCTGACACCTATATACAAGGGCTTTAGTTTGCCTGCCCTTCCTTCAGGTAGGTTCAACTTATCTGTGGATAAGTATGCAAGCTCGCATTTTCTCAAAGGTGGGTCCAGGCATCTCTTTTTATTCATCTGGACTGTTTGGGCAGCACAATTGTATATATCATGTCATGCACTGCCATTAGGTTTTCCTTCACCTTTTGGGTGAAGTCATTCACTCCTGGGTAGTCCAAGGGTGGTGCTGTTAAGCACATCTTTGGCATATGGTGTCATGGCCATGGATTCCAGCCCATTCCCCGCCCATCCCGATGCTGCCTGAGCCTGTTCCCACTGCGCGAGCGTGAGCACGAGCCCCAACCCTCATCC